TAATTTAATAAAATATCTGCAGATAACACATAGAGAGGAAGGAATCAAACCCCTTCCCTTGGCTGAGGCACATGGAAATGAAGGTAGGTTAGGACTACTTTGAAGAAAGGACTGCCTTTCTCCAATACTTTGTATTACCCTGATTGATAGTTCAGGCGAGAATGTGAGAATCTAGTTGTCCTGCCCCTCCATCTTCTCAGGATCGCCCCCACATCTATCAGGACTGGTAGCTGAGGGACACTAGCCCATAAGGCACAGTGAAAATATCCACTGTTAAAACTGCCAGAGTACACAGGTGAGGAATAGAAAGAAAAACAGAAAATTCCATCTACCACCTATGCGCCTATCTATAGGTCCTTCTATCTGCCTTTTGACCTTTCACTAACCTTGATCAACAGAATGGCTTATCTGGATACCGATTAGAAGTACTTTTTCATTGTAATAATTTGTAATGCTTAGAGAATAATTCTTCCAAAATTGCAAGCATAGATATGACCCTAAGATGTCTCCAACAGATCTTGTTACCAAAAGCAAAACCAATGAAACAACATCTGTCTCTTCTAGAGCATTCAATTCCCAATTCAATTCTATTTCCTGCGTCCTTAGACTGGCGGACCCGCAGGGCACTTTTCATCTAATAGTGTTTCTATGGAAACGCCATTCTCAACCTGGAAGATTCTACAACTCCTCACATTGGCTTCATCCACAATCAGAGGAAAGTCTTATAAATCAGAAATTGAGACATAAATTTGGCCACACACGCACAAAATATTTTCTAGGCTAGAAGTTCACCAAAAAAAAAAAAAAAAAAAAAAAAAAGTGAAAGAAAAAGAGAGAAGGAAAGAAAGATACCAGATATGTGTATCTGACTTAGAACAAAGTTTGTCTCTATAATAAGGTTTAACCAATGGGATCCTCAAATTCAGTGAAAGGATGAGAAGTTGCGAAGAATGTGAAAGAAAATCATTTCAGATTCAGGATCACCTCCCCCACTGGTCAATGTCAAATATTGACCCTTGAATGCTTTCTTCACCTGAATCTGTAGGTACATGTTTTAACTACCTCCACTCTCCCTAGCTTCCAGTATTCCTAGGACACAAAGCAGCTCCATACAGGAAAATAAAGTCACTGCATATTTTAAATAAGAACCACACTAACTGCTTTTGTATTTAGATTATACTTAAAACTGCAATATGATAGGGTAGGAAAACAAAAAAACAAAAAGACCCTTGATTTTTACCTTAAACATTATATTTATTCCTTTTCCTCATTTCCACTAAACCCTTGGACACATCTCTGTAACACTGTAGCAAAAGAACTGGTAATATGCAGAACACATCCAGTTTAAGGACTATAACATAATAGTCTGTTTGCATTTGGAATAATGCTCTCAAGAGGGAAAAAGAAACCTTGATGTGACACATGCCCCTGAACTGATTTTGAGTATAGAGTGACTCATACACAAATATCAAGTACTTTTAATTGTTTGCAATAATTTATCTTCAGGCAAATGCAAGCATTTCTATTAATAAATGCTTTTATTTTCCTTCTAATTATCTCATTATCTAAATCACGTCAGTCATTCTTTTTAATTCCGGAGAATAGTTTCATTTAAGAGACCTTCTCTACTTATCGACACTGGCAAATGTTCAACTAAGTCTAAGCTGGGAATTTACCTCACTGAAATTTCCTTTTACCCATAATCACCAAAGTTTAAAAACTCGTTTCCTTTTTTTTTTTTTTTTATTGTTTTCATTATACACAAGTATGCCTAGTTTAGCTTAGTAGAGACTGTGAGTCCACGAATGAGGCTTTAGTTCTCTCTTTGGAGTAGTAAAATGTGCTATTGATTAAATCTACCTGTGGATAACTACAGATCGGCACATTTTTCTTCTTATTCTTTGGGGTGCAAATCTAGAAAGGGTTTTTATTCAGGGCCTATTCAACTCCTCTAACGTACAAATGCTTGAAAACCCTTTCAAGGGCGAAATTTAACCAAATAAACCCAAAGAAAGGATTAATCCACTTATTTTAAAACGAAAAAAAAATAGCAATTTACTTTGAAAAAGGTGCATGAGGTTTTAAAATATGCCTTTTGGCATTTAAAAAAGATTAATTTACAATTTGCTAATAAATTGTTATTGCTATTGTTTTAATTAGCCAGAGTTTCAATTGCTCTTTTATATCTAGCAAGATTTCAGAAAGGATTTTCTAGAGAAGTTGTATTAATCACGTAGCAATAATGTGATCATTTGAAATTTGCATACAGTCTTCCTGATGAATTGTGCATCCCTGAAGACCTCTTAGAATTTGAAATAAAGTTACTAATGGATTAGTACTGAGATGTCAGTAATTACTTACACTGGACAAACGACAACAAAACTCTCTTTAAATTCGATAGGTTTTTCCGTAGAAATTATTAGAATTAGCTCCTGACTATAAATATTACCTAAGAAGTCCATGCATTCCTTCAAGAAGGAAAACAAAACAAAGAGAAGAGTGCTCCTTTTAACTGGGGACCTATGTGCTCTTGAGATTACAGAAGAGGCAGGGAATCTTTCTTATCGGGGGAAGGAAAGGGCTGAAAAATTTAGATTTATCTCCTAACTTTACCTTTCAGATGATGTTATAAGAGCAATTAGCCTTTTAGAGATCACTACCACCATCAATATTTCTGTATGAGCAGATGGCATTAGAGTGGGTAAGGAGGGTAGAAATGCCCAACCCAAATCACAACTTCTATGAGCATTCATAGAAAGCCGCGGACGAATGGGCTTCCCCTTCCAGGGCAGTGGCACAGGCCAGCAAAGACCCCAAAACTGAAGACAATTAGCCAAGCCTCAAGAAATCAGGCAGTTCATGAATAATTTCTATGAAGATAGCCCCAGTAATGCATAGTCCACATAAGCATTGCAATGCAGGTAACATCATGCTGGCTGTTAGAATGTTTATTTTATTTTTGTTTTGTTTTGGTTTTTGTTTTTTTAAGAAGATAATATAGCTCTCTGCAAGGGTCTTCACAAGGGTACAACCTAGGAAAACTGGAGGATGAATAAAACAACTTGCTTCTCTCTCTCCTGAATCTGTCTGAATCAATATTTGATAATATTTTATTCAGGGGCACCTCAGCTTCAAAGAAAGCCAAAGCTCCACTGCAGATTGAGAAGGGGGCTGAAGAAATCTATTCACTTTTTCTGTTGGTATAGGAAATAGAAATAGTTTGGTTGTGATTTCAGGGCCAAGCTGATTTCACCCCTCACTGGAACTCATCCATCCCCAGAGCAGGTGAGCTGGTTAGCTCTGGTGAGAAAGTACCAGCAGAGTTGCATCAGTACCTTTAGCCAATTGTCACTTCTTATCTGAACGTCATATTATTTGTTTTTCATGATATGCTCTCAAGACCCTAGTCCTCCTCCCCCTGCCCATTCACAAGTGGTTGATAAACTTCAATAGGAAACATGCCCATGGCAGATCCCAAAATATCTACTTACATGCAACAAGTGTCACATAAGTAATGGTACATGAATCAGATTTTATGAAAAACTAATAGGGATTTAAAAATTATAACAACTAAAACAATCTAAATATTCAGCTAACTTCCAGCATTAACCAACTCCTAGAGTTTATTCACAAACTGTCAGCATAGTATAGTTACTGTTTAGAATCACAATGGGAAGAGGAGAAGGGAGGAAACTTTTTTTTTTTAGTTACTTCTGCTGCCCTCAGTTTTTATTTTATTCAGTGACACTGGAAAGATCTGGATTAATTTATACCCTTGAGTGTTATTCGAAGCACAGCCTCTAACCAGAGGAGAAGCCACATGGCCTTCAGACATCCCCTGAGTGTGTCTCCCTGTACCAGCACAACTCACTGAGGAACATGGCTTTGAAAGTGGGCCACGGTGAGAGGGTCAACAGGCTGTGGACATGTTTGTGACAATGCAAAATTAACTTTGATATTTAGGGGAAAAAATGACTTTAAGAAAAGCAAACTGGGCTAAAAATAGTAACATCAAATATTTTCCTGACATTAAAAAAAAAAAGGTCAGGAGTTTTTAACATTTATTTATCTATGTAGCTATGCTCCAACCTGTCTAAATTCATCTTTTGTTCTTAATATTGAAAGTCCCCTAGTCAACAATTTTGCTGTTTTTTAAAATATTATTTTATCCATAAATTTTCTTCCTTTGATGTCATTAAATCAGTATGCACTTACAAAAATATCCACCAAGATATTATCATTATAAATATTTCAAACATGAAACTCATTCAGAACAATAACCAAACAAAACAAATCCCCCAGTGACATAAAGCCCCAAATCTCCAGTTTCTCATATCTCCAGGAGGATTCCTGCAGTGAAAACAGCAATACTCACACAGACAATATAAACTGTTACTCTGCTTGAAAAGTCACAAGGGACTACACAGGAAGAGCTGACTCTATATTGCTGTTTTCCTTTACAGTTTTAAATACGGGGACAACTTTCACTGTGGAGCTCTGACTCATGTGAACTTGTTGTCATGCAAGCCAGCGCATTCAAACCATTTAAAAGCAAATTATGTGACCATCTTGCCATCACAACATGATTTAAACTTTTGTGGACCATTTGCTGTAAAGGTCCACTGAAGCATTGGAAGGTATTAAGTCTTTCTGTCTGGGATTTGTCTTACTTTCTTCTCAACTGGTTCTAAGTATTTAAGGGTATCACTTAGAAAAGCAACATCATTAACATACATATTAAAATCAGAAGTGAACATGAACTCCTAAACCTTATAACTTAATGAATGTTAACAAAATTGCAATAGCGGTCTTCAAATTAAACTCCTCACTTGGGTATGTACCTTGGAAACAAGTGCTAACACTTTTGTAAAAACTGTGGGAACACAGTGATTTATGAAATATTCCAAGTCCGACGGGATCATTTTTTTCTCATTTCTTTTTCTATCAAAACTGGTTCATTGCTATATTTAGTTTACATATGTCATTTAGAATCCACTTACTGTTAGATGCTGGAACAGCCACGCCCTCATGATATTTGTGGCTACTTTGGGAAAGATGCCACGCTTTTTGTGACGCTTTTTGTCCTTATCAGGGTCATCATCGTCACCTGTGCTGGGGGAAGCTACACTGTTGTCCAAGCCATCACCTGCAAACATAGTGAATCAAATTTTGACTGATGCTACCTTGACATGCTTTATTCAAATAGAATGCCTTTGGATATAAACAAAACCAAAAGAGCAATTTAAATGATTAATAGTTTCTTTGGTACTGTTTTTTTTTTTTCCAAGACAAAGAGAAAGAACAAGGCCTAGGGTCAAAAGTAGTCAGCTCTAAAGAACTTCTTCCAAAGAACAGTTCTAAAGGTCAAAGGGAATGGAGGGAAATATCCAATCTCCTTAGTGGCTTTGTTGCCATGGTAACTATACCAATATATATAGCTGAGACAAGTTAAGTCTAACTCCTACTGGGGAGGTAAATATGGTTGCAACCATTAGAAATGGTGCTGTCACTGCCAGGGTATTCAAATCCCACATATACTCACTGACGTCAACTTGTGAACAGATGCATTTAAGATAACAGTTATTTCCACAAGTGATCTTTCTTAAGACTGGTTAAACTAAGATGGGGAAATGTAGTTAATCCATCATATAAGCAGTTTGACACAGGAATGCTTCAAACAGAATATAATCTTTCTTGTAACAGAAAGAGAGCATCAAGTTTATTAAGAGAAAAACCCCTGACATAGTTGTTCAGTTAGAAAATAATTAGTATTTAAATCAAATAAAGTAATGCTAAAGTAATGGTAAACTGGAACTGTATTACACTAATAATCCAGATGGTTTCTCAAATTTCTTCTAGATTTAAATTTTTCTCACTGAAAAGTCACCTGCTAACCCATTCCTCTATATTAGATCCTATTTTTCTATTGATTTGTGTAACAACATTTAGATTGTTTCTTCTGGAAAATATTTTGACTCTGTGACTCAATGAAATAAAAAATGTAGTATTCCTTTTATAATGTCATGTTTGATAAGAAAGAAAGGGAATTTCAGGCCATACAATCACACTGCCCAAAATAAGTCACAAGGTACAAATGGAAAGTAGGTATATTTTGTCTTAACACCAAAGACAAAAAGGAACACAATAATGAACTAAATGTGCTACACTAAAAAGTAGCATAGCTTCTGTTACACCTACTGCTCCAGTGAGCCACCACTCCTACCTGGTGCCCCAGCTCTCAGTGGGCGCTACTGGCTTTTAGAAGCAGGCAGGTTGATGTGGGCCCAGAAAGAGGAGCTATGGAGGCCAGGATTAGCAATGAGACACACCCAAGAGCACATTTACTGGGTTAAGTAAGTCACTGGAGAGCAATCTACGTGGCCCAAGGAACCTGATATTTTGGTAAGACAAGTTTCCTGGTGACTGTACTTTGGTATTAGCTTCAGACTTATTTACATGGCTTCAAGAATTTCTATATTTCTCATTTCATATTAATTAGGTTCTACATACAAAACAAATTCTCTATTTCGATTTCAGTTATTTCAGTCTAATCTATAATAGCTATGTTGTGACTAATCAATTGTTCCTAAAAGCTCCCTCAGGAAACCCACCACTTCCCACCATCAAAAAAGAGAGAAGTGCCCCTTAATATTTTTTTTCAACTGCCTTGATGTGAACTGAGCTAAGGTTTAAAAACCTTAATGGGTGAGAAACAGACTACTTTCAACATTTCTACTATTATTACAGCATATGCCACAAATGCAAAACTTTTGCAGAACTTTTCTGAGTTTCAACTTTTATTAATTTAAAATCCATAATTTTATGGTATCTAAAAATCCATATATTTTGTTAAAGTTCTACAGAATCATAGCTTGCATTCTGAAGACCCACAACTCCAAGGTCATCATTATATCAATGAAAAGAGTGCTGTGTTCTGCGACTGGCACAATGTCACGGGGGCATGGAGCTGTTGGAGTCTGTACTTGCCTAGACACCCACATCTCTAAACTGGCGCTCCTTCCATCTCACCAAACTCTTTATTTGCATAACCAAGTGTTTTATGAGAAGTCCCCTTGGATTTGCCTAATAAATTCTTTGAAAGTCCAGTATTTAAAGAGGCTTTTTATTCAGAGAAGCAATTCACCATATAAAATAACAATTCATTAAAGAAACATGAGAAAAGAAAACAACTCAGCAGCATTTAAAATTTCAATGGGCTAATTTACTTTCAATATGCAAAAGGTAACTGAGGAAAAGAAACATATTAGTTGATTATTGATTAAAAAATGAAAAGCTTCTAACCTAACAATACTATTTTTCACTACCTCTCCATGATTGTTTTCCACCTTAAAAAAAAAAAAAAGCCTTTTTATCCATGTCAACCCCCTTCAGATTAATTTAGCAAGCAATGCCTAGTGCTTGCCTAGAAGAGAATTCATTGATAATTTATGGAAATATCTACTATAATCCAGCAGAGATGACTTTTTTCCAGCTTTGTGCATCAATAGATAATCAAGGCCTTAAAGCAACCTTAGCTTCCCATTACCTCAGGCAAAAGAATTCCTGAAAGCGTGCCTTGAGGGCACCTGAATCATATACTCCATTAGGAGAGGAAGGCTTTCTGCATTCCATGTGTAACACTCACCAGAACCTTTCCTGTTTATTTCTGCTGTATGAAAGCAGAAGCATTAGGAACAGAATTTTTTAAGTGAAGACTTATGTAGATACAATGGAGAAACCTTTCAAGCAGGAGCCAGATCACCCCCTTCAGTCCCTGGCAGTGACCTCTCCCGAATAAAAGGTTTCTATTACATCATTAGCTCAAGCCAAAAACAGCCTTGGCTTAATGCACAGTTTGTTCTTCCTACTGTTTTTAGGCAAATACAGCTACTTTACTCCCATCTGGGAGGGAAATTACACTGCTGGGTTGTAATCTAAGACAAGATTTTCATTGGAAGCAAATGCTTTCAATCCAGTGTAAATACTGGTGCATGTTCAGAAAAGCCTAAAACAATAAACCCTGCTCCATTCCGACACAAGTTAGGGAAATGGAGAAGATGGAGAAGGAGAAGAGCATAATAAAACAGACTATTCTAAAAGCAAACACTTTCATAGATTTTAATAAATTGTTTAACCTCTTCCACTTTCTAAAATTGAAAATTGATCTCAAAACGTCTCAACCTCAGAGGAAAATCTAAATGGTCAATTGTACCTTTAGCATTTCCATTCACTCTGCAATTTGATACAGTCACCTCTATGCAGTCTCTGGAGGATTTATTTCCTTTTTTTATTTTTAAGATCACTAAACAAACTTGGAGAACCGCCGGCCGACCACACGGCAGCAGGCAGCAGCTCTGAAGCACATTTGTAAAATGTCAGCAGTGACTTCATTCCTGGAGCTGACTTCTCCTGCCGCCAAATGAAGGCAAACTGAAAAGGTGGAAATAATCATAAAAATGATGCTAGTCCATAAACAAGCTTACAGCCTCATTAGGATAGCAGTAGGCTCCAGTGGGTGATTTATGCTCGTTTTGCTGATGCTATGAGGAAATGCCATAGGGCGACTTTAGCCAACTGCTAATGGTTTCTGACAGCTTCTTAGCAACTAGTGCAAGCAACGTTGTGGCGTTTGCTAGTGACAGAAACTGAAAATGTCATATTATCTGCCCATGTGTCATGAAGTCCGTGTGGCAATTAACTAGTAGGCCAGTGACTAAGGGGCCAGAGGCTCCTGCAAATGGCCTTTGGCTATGCAGAGGGGTGGCTGGGCACTGAGCGCACACTGGCTGCACATTCTGCAACCTTCTATTGCCGAAATCCATTCCCCGCAACTTCCTCAGCTCTGATGAGCCCAGGCCATTCAAATCCCTTCCTTCCCCCTCACTGAAGTGCAACTGTGGGCTCCTTTCTCTCTAGGCACAGGCTCTGGCATTATCAGATGACTCTAAAGTGATCTGCTTTGATATGATTATCCTTGATATGAATGGCTCCTTAATTGGTAATACCTGGTTCTGTGCTTTTTGGATGCTGGACTGGAAGGTGCTAGCTATTTTTCTGCTCTCTCACAAATTAGTCTAAAAGGATTTAAGATCACTGAAGCAGTCTCATTGCCTGTCAGATTGTGAGGAGCAAGGGAACTCTGCACAGCAACAAGACACTATTTAAAAAACACCAGGCTTCTAACAAGCAGGGAGAGAATCTTGGCTACACTTTTCAGTTTCTGAGCTATCAAAACCATGCACTATACGTCAAACTGTCAAACCTTTCAGCGTGGGCCATTTGCCCTTTCAAATAATATTTAAGAATTGTTTTTACAAAATTTTATAGGCCATGGTCTAGTGAAAGAGGCCAACCAACAAAGAAAAGAATTTGTACTACAATTCGTCTATGGACAATTTCTTGTGAGACCTGGGCCTGTCCCTACGGAGCAAGGCAGGTGACCTGTGGCAGCTCCCAGGCTGTCAGAGAGCTCAGATTTCAAACATGCTCAACTCAAACATCCCGAGTCGCCTATTTAAGCATGCCCAGGCATTTAGACTGTGCTATCTCGTGCCTTTCAAGGCAGGATAAAGCAGCATTTATCGTATTCAAGGCATTCAATGGGTCAGACTGACCATGTCAGCAGGGGCTCCTCTCTGGCAGGTCAAAGCCCCGCTCCCATTTTTCTCTCCCTACCAACTCGCTTTCTCCCCCAGAGCTGCCATTCCCCAAAACTTACTCTTAATGAGGCAAAAACAAAACCCCAATAAGCACCTAAGATTTACATCGCAACTGATGGGAACTTACAGTGTCAGTGGGCAACCAGATAAAAATAAAATGAGTTGTCTGTCTAGGGTACTCAGAGGTAAAACTCCTAATTAGGGAGATGAACTTTCAACTGTCAGGACAAATGAACCTGTGAGGTTATGGACCCTCTTGTTTTGCTTGAAGCCAAGCTGGAAGCCAACCTGGCTTCGAGACCATTTTCATCTACAATTTTGTATTGAGACTCCATAGTTTTGGGCCATATCCTCTCTTTAACCTTTATTTTTCTCCTCTTCTAGTGTTTAGGAATAGAGTGTTTCTCCCAAAGTGTACCTAGAGTCAAAAACCAAGGCCATTTACAATTGTGTCTTTTTTTACTGAGGAAAATCTATCGTGCCTTGA